TCTCCTATCGACTACCTCTAAACATCGTCTTATGTTTTAACATACAGCACGCGATATCGAATCACTTACACTAGTGACCACTTTAAACCAGCACTAAGAAACACTTGACTCACATAACACTGATCACCATCCAGTGATCAATCAATTGTAAATAAATATCACCAGATTGTTATTCAGAGTGCATTGGGGAAATACATAATATTTATTATCAGATCAAACTGTCTACTTAATTTACGCTCAGTTAGTCAGTAAACAACGTGGAACTTCGTACGTACGTACATCAGTCCGAGTTGCCACACCACATTAGCACAGAGATTCAGTTATCGATTCAAATCCCATAGTGGTAGAGGTACTAAAAGTATAAGTAGTTATAGGGAACATTAGGGTTTGATGATGTTATTTAAGGAGTATATTCCAGTGGAATAGATTCGGAAAGAAAATAAAGAATCCAGAAGTTTAGAGTTTGAGAGAACACACAGAGTTGATGCACCTGCGCCATTGCAAACGATTTTATGCAATGTCATTCAAGGTCTCTAACCATCGGTTGCTATCATCTCGCGGTCCCCAACCATTAATTTGTCATTCAGGTAGATTGGAGATCGTGGGAAACCGAAGTGTGGCTGAAGGCCAGTTGAAGTTATACCTAAAGTGTTCTGCCCATCGATCTAATCTTCTGGATTGAGAATGAATAATAATATGTCCATTTTTCTCTGCGATTGTTTCGCTAACAGTTGGGTTCCTAATACCGGTTTTCTTAACAAGTCTGAACAGTTGCCTGCTGTCACCTATTGCCGCTGCCTTTTCCATCTCTCTTGCTTTCGCTACCCACCACTGTTCACGATCATTGCGTAAGTTATGTTCAGAGCCAGATGGAATGAGTTTTCGAGCATCTATCAGTGCGGTAGACGCTGCTGAGATCCAGTGTTTCTCCTTAACCTTATGGTTTACCGTATTTGCAGACACCACTGCTGTTTCTACAGCTTTTCGGATGTCATTCCACGCTGCCTTGAGGTGGGCATCCCTTACATGGCTGCCTAACTGTTTTTCTAGTCGTTCCTGAAATATACTCTTAGTTTGACCATCATTAAGTAGTACCCTAAGGGGTTTCCTTGCAGCGTCTTTCCTACGTCCAGTAAGACGTGGACAAATAAGCGCTCGCACCAGAGCATGATCCGAGTCTAAGCATGTGCTCCAGAATGAGCGACAGTCTTCTATCGAGCCCCTCCATCGGTGGCTGATAGCGATGTAATCTATTTGGGTCCAACGCTGGGACGAATTAGGGAGTCGCCATGTTAAAAGATGTTTTTCCTTATGCTTAAAGTTAGTGTTTGCAAGAAACAGGTTATCTGAGCACAGCTGCAACATACGGTCGCCGTTATCTGTTCTTTGAGCCGCGACACCATAAGATCCACCCAGGTGTCTTACCCTTTCGCTTAGTTTACCTACTTGAGCATCAAAGTCACCAGCCACTATTACTACATCTGAACGCCTAGCTTTTCGGAGAAGGTCGGAAAGCTTTCTGTAAAACTCATCTTTTGCATCATCTGAGCTGCAGTCAGTGGGAGAGTAGGCAGAGAAGACGAAGAGGCAATGACGAGTGTCTCTATCTTTTCGAGTCCTTACTGTTCCGTTTAGTCGGACAGCGCACAAACGACTGTCTACTGTGATCCAGTCTAAGAGAGCTAGTTTTGCCCTAGGACTCAATGCTATACTTACACCAGCGAGGCCACGGGAAGCAGCATCAGGGCTTCCAGATACACGAAGCGTAAATCGGGTTGGTTCGTTACTTTGATATGGTGAGGTCAAATGAATGACACTACTCGGATCCTGTGTGCGCGTTTCGGAGACGCAGCACACATCGATGGAGCGAGATTCCAAAGTCCTAGCTAAGGAGGCCTGGTGTCCTATTCGGCACAGTGTTCAGACGTTGAAAGCTCCTACGTGTAGTTTAGAGCGTGGTTTCGGGAGACCATGAATAACGTTCCGCGTACTCGAATCGTTTGCACTAGCGGTGCCAGGTGATAAAGGGACGTGAGAAGGGTTGGTCGTAGAGTTTATTTTATTTATTTTAACACATAAGTATAGGTACAGAGAGGCACCAAGTACATATGCGCCACACGAATCTCAATTGATTTGTGTGAGGGCTGTGATACTGGTCGTGCAGATAAGAGAGTTATTAGGAGGTGTAGGAAGGATTTGAATGTGAACAACTTGGTCTCGTATGCTGTTACGGGAATGAGGGCTGATATCACTTCCTAGTTGCCGACACCGTGGAAGGGTATTTCTTGAGGAACCTGAAAAGGAAATCGAATTAGTATTGGGTGCGTGACCGCAGAGCCCAAGGGACAACTGCTTGAGGCCGGTCGCGCACGGCCTTTTTGTGGGAGGTTTTTAATGTGTTAGCTCCGATCTTCAAATGGCCTTACCGCAGGAGACGGAAATCCGTGGGGTAAGGTGTGACATTTTTAGAGTCAACCTTTTCTAACCCCTTCCTTCCTTGTGAGAAGCCAGCATCGTTGCAGATGCTGGTTGTCTGAGGGAAACACCTTACTGCTGTCAAACCTCTGTACAGTCAGCAGTACGACTTCGCCCTCAGACCTTGAGTTGCTGCTTTTAGTCTTAGTCTTACGCTACAAAAGTTCGAAAAAGAATGACTGCTTTGTTCGAATCTAAAACACTGTGTATTCAGATTCGGAAGAAGAGGCTTTAACAAGTGTCAGGGTGTGGTAGAATGTCATTGCACTTTTCGGTGCACCAACAATATAATTTGGAAATACACCCCTTACTTCAGTGACAAAATTACCGTTACTTCGAGGCACCATAATTCTACTCATTCAAATTATAACGCTGAACACCTCTTCACTATAAAGCTATTGTTCCGGTCAAACATATATACATTAATTATCTTGGGAGTTTCATGAACTATGGTCGGTTGTTGTATGACAATCACGGTAAGGATTCAGAAAGGTTGGTTAGCCCTTGCTTAGGTAGGAAAACCGTCTCTTAACCAAAGGACGAGCATATTCTTCATTAGTCCTCTGCTCATTTTATGGTTGCAAAATGATCTCGGAGAGTAGAGGGCACGAATAGGTCACAGATTTTTGAGGAAATTACTTCCTCCAAACACGTGACTAATGGGCGGTCGCGCTCTAATTACGGCTATTTTCCTGGATGAATTACCGCATGACAGAAGCTTATAATCTCTGGATTTCGAAAAAGCATAAGCAAAACGAACTTCATGGATTGCATAAAATATATATTTCAATTCGGACAGTACAAACGACCTCATGCTAAGACAGAATTATCTCACAAGCATCAATGTGCCGTTACCGTTCTCACTACCCACTATCAATTCTTCCATTCGAGCTGACATTCAACTCGCATTATAGCATCGCTAGTCCATTAAAATCTAGCTATTAGCAGTATGACAGGACTTGGTAACGCTCGGAAATGCATACTGCATTGTTAAGAACCAACAGTATCCAATAACGTAATGTAGAGTGCCCTGGATGTTCTATCTATGCCTACTTCAAAAACGAAAGTATCAAGAGTTCGCATGAAGACATAGGCAAATTAATTATCAGAAGACTAAAGTCTGTCCTGAATTAACTTGTCAAGCAAGACCGTTAAAGCTATAGATAGACAAAATAATGATAACCAGTTCTAGATACGCGGACCAACGAGTAGAATTTCAAGTTGTGGATTCTAATCTCAACAAACAATTGATTTGAGCTTAGAAATCACATCTCGAATGATGTGCATCAACTCGGAAGCCTGTTACAAATTGCTTACATTACCATAAGTATCAGATACAATTAATTAATTGTGTATTGAGAAATAACTACATTGAAGGGTGAAAAACTACACAGTAATAAAAATTAAGGACTGTATCGGTCGACAGTACTATCCAGAAAATATACAACGGCAAAATACTACCAAATGAGGAAACTCGTTGTCTATGTTTATAAAAGAGTTGAGAAAATGGGTGTAAGATTAAAAAAATCTACTTGCAATTACACTATTTCGAACCAATGCTAACAACAAACAAAACAGAAGTACCGAGGTAGGTCTCGAATACGGTCTATCGATAACAATACCCTTAACTACATCATGCTAAAATATAAGCGATTTGTAGTAAAGCTCAACAGGGCCTGGTGCGTTTCTCAGAGCTATAATAATTAATCTACTAAAGTAGAATTGCGAACCATGAAAGGATTCAGTCATGAATCGACTTGCTATTGTACATTCATTTACAGTATTAAACGCCATTTTATGGCACAGAAGTCAACATGAGATAATCAATCCCTTTGATCTTGACAGAATACGATATTCATGCAGAGACGTTAGAACAGATTAATTAAGAACAGTAGTTATATAACGTAACTAGAGACCTGTGCTTAAGATCGTCACTAAAAACCTCAAACAACCTAATAAGCATATTATGCTAACGACAATATGCGCCTTAACTCGAGTAAACAGACTACTGAACAACAAGATTAGACTGCCATAAAATCCGATACTCTCATTAATGCAATCTTGTTCCCAACATGAAATTAGACTTTTGCTTAAAGCAATCTCTTGAATAAATACGAGTTTTAATAGCTTTGGTCAAGTATTAACAAGTTATTTAAGTCTGAGAAGATTAGATGATGAGTATCACGAGCAGCAATTGCTCAAGTAATGAATTTCTCGTAAAGTGAATTGATACAATTAAATATTTAAACAAATGAAAACGTCTGAGTGAACCAAACTGTACCGCCAACTGTCACTAAACACGGCACAAGTCTCGTTCGAAAAGAAAAAAGAAGGAATACTCGCAACAACCTTAAGAGCATTTTCACAAACGCAGAACTGACAAACCAGTAAGAATCGAATAAGAAAGTAAGGTTACTCGAGGGCTGAAAAAAATCGACCGAAATTAAATGTAACACGTACGTCATCAATGAGTACAAGAAGAAAGAAGAAAATACGTTCATCGAAATGTTTTGTGTAGTGCCGTATCAAGGATCCATAGCATATTTCTGTGTCCACACTCTAGCTAATTCATCGTATTTTTTACGATCTGTTTTGTACTGACGTGCGACGTCCGGGCATAGAGGATCGTCTGGATTGGGATCCGTCAAAAGTGAACAAATTGAGAGTAGAACTAATTTAAACATAAATTGAGTATTTATATACGAATGTATACCTTTTGATATTGTTAAGGCAGGAGACCATTGTCCACGGAGGATATCTAAGCAGATACTACCATTGGGATTTATATTCGGATGATATATCTTCGTCATGAAGCTGATCTGTCACAAGGCTGGTTTGACAGTAATTCAATGCTTACCTTAGGAGGTTTGAAAGGGTAGTCTGTGGGGAATAGTATTTTCAGGGAAAAGACTCCACCTTCATATGGACTATCAGCCTATACGTATATTATTACAGAATAAACGGACGTACAGGTCCCATAATAGTGGCTTGCCAGACAAATACTAAATGTAAGCTAATTTAGCATACATTGACTTACGATCATCTTCACAAGGACCAGCTGAACACTGAGTTGGAGGATCTACACTTAAGTCCTGTAACTCCTTAATAAAACAATTCTGCTGCACAAAACACTGAACATGTTCTTACTTTGGATATACGTTTTAATGCCATTTGTACAGCTGTGGGACAAGAAATTCGAAACTGCGCGGCAGAATACCACAGTGAGCTCAAACGCCATCACCTCGACTCAATATACAAGATGTTTGAATTGAGCTAATGTGTCGAAAGAGTTTCACGTATTCCGATTACCGTCAGGTTGTATCTGCTCAACCTCGCAGTTTTTCGACTGGTCGTTTTGGCCTCCCACATTGTTTGCACTACGCTCAATTCTATCATTCCAGATGAAAAGTCCCTTGCTGAAGCTATGTTCAGAAGAAGTATTTGAATTATATTCGACGGAATGTTTCCACCTATGCTAGTGGATGGGTACAGACAAAATCAAAATATTCGAAGCTTTAACATGAATATTAGAGTGTTCATCAGGTCATACCTAGGAAAAAATCGTTGTGCACCCGGAGTCATGTAAAAAATAACCATTTTATACGAAGTGCTTGGGACCTTTCGAACCTGGATTAGGCACACCAACCAAACCCACAGAAAACTGAGGAAGTTGAATATGGCAGATGGATGGGTGAGTCTTTCACTGGAGATAATTACAGATCCCATAATGACTGGAAGTGCAAAGGACACTCATAAAAGCTGTATAATAAGAAAGTTGAAACGCCGCAAGAAAGCAGTTATCGAGCTGCAAGTAGATCTGAAAGAAAAATCTGATACTGTAGCGGTTAATAATTCCCCAAAATCAAATAGCTCTGTAAGTTTTCGACATTGGATGCTGACCACAGTTTTAGTGGACTCATCTGGCTGAAGGCGCTCGGTCAAGCATCCGCACCAGATCACGTGTGGGAACGCCGTGCTCAACATCTGCCTCAATCGCTAGCCAGATTAGTGCAAACGATCCTCGATATATTGATAGCTTATCAAATCTCGATCTCCTCGCTTCTGTCTTTTGATTTTACATGGTGGGTGCGCTTCGTATTAGAAGGTGTTACTGGTTAAAGCGTTGTCAAACTCCGAATACCTGTGGCATCTTCATTGGTGAGCCCGACGTGATCTGGTACACCATATTGTAAACTGTGAGTTTGTTCCTTTTTGTGATTTTATATATCATTGTCTTATTTTAATTTCTTTTTTTTTACATTGTGATATATTTTTTTCCGTGTTTTTGGGTTCATATATATATTTGCCACTCGCTCACTTTTCGTACTTGGTATATTACTATGACTGAACAGACCCCTAAAGTATTTAAGTTAAAGACTGTGTCCCCACCCTCTTTCCAACTTATGCCTTTCTGGCCAGACAACATCGAAGCCTGGTTTTGTTATGCAGAAGCCGACTTCTACGAGGACGGTGTGAACGATGTGCGTGCACAATTCCTTGCAGTAGTCAAGGCACTACCGCGCGAATTCAACAGGTACGTAACACCTAGTATGTTTACTAGTGATGTTTCTGATCCATACCAAACACTGAAACAGGCCATCCTTAAACGCGGAGATCTAACCGATCGACAAAGGTTAGATCAACTCCTTAACAACATCGACCTGCAACACGGTTCTGCCACAGACATGTTGCAAAGAATGCGAGAAGTCATTGGCCAAAGAACCTTCGACGACGGCCTATTCAAGCAACTTTTCTTATCCAAACTTCCTCAACAGGTGCAAGCTGTTTTGGTCTCGTTCCAAAACAACGCCGTAAACGAACTAGCGGCATCTGCCGATCGCATTCTCGAGATCACTAGGTCTCCTAACGCCGAGGTTTTTTCAGTCAAAGAAAAGCCTCAAACGACCCAGAATGACATAACACAGTTATGTCATACACTTACGCGCTATCTCAAACTCGGTAACGACCGTAAACGATCACTTACTCCGCGGAGAAGCACATCACGTAGGCGATCTGTATCTAAAACTCGAGAGACGGATAATCCTGATTGGTGCTGGCACCATAACCAGTACGGAAAGTCTGCCAGAAATTGCAGAAAACCCTGCAATTTCCCCAACGCGAAATCCGTCGACGCGAAGAACGTTTCGGGAAACTTCCAAGCCGGCAGGCGTTAACGGCGACCGTATCCGGCGAACATAGCCGTCTTTTATATGTCACTGATGTGATAACGAGAGTTCGCTACCTCGTAGATACTGGCGCAGAGGTTAGCGTTCTCCCAGCGAATTCCGACGACAGGCTACACGAGCCTGTTTTAAATCTACAGGCGGAAGACGGAAAGCCTATCGCTACTTATGGCCAAAGGTATGTTTATCTTAACGTGGGTTTACGCAAACCCATTCACTGGATTTTTGTTGTTGCAGATGTTTCTATGCCAATCATTCGTATGGACCTTCTACAACACCACAACTTAATTATCGATACGCGCGAACGGAGGTTAGTAGACGGAAACACTAATTTATCTGTTTGCCTGACTTCTTTTTCTGGTTGCAGGTTATCCCCAGTCACTATTAAGCACACCATAGACCTTTTCTACCAACCACTACTCGATAAATATTCTAGCATTTACCAATCGCAACCGAAATTGCCGTGTGTAACCAGCAATGTAACACATCACATCACGACTACAGGACCACCTGTCTTCTCGAAAGCACGCCGACTGGCCCCCGAAAAGTTAAGGTTGGCGAAAAACGAATTCGACCATATGATAAACTTAGGGATCATACGACCGTCAAATAGCCCATGGGCATCTCCATTGCACATGGTCCCTAAAAAGGACAGCAACGATTGGCGTCCAACTGGCGAATATCGGAGATTGAATGCAAAATCCATTCCCGATCGTTACCCGTTGCCCCACATTCACGATTTGACAGCTACCTTGAAAGGTGCAACTGTCTTTTCAAAAATTGACTTGGTAAAAGCTTATAACCAAATTCCTATGGTCACTGAAGACATTCCAAAAACCGCTATTATAACGCCCTTCGGACTCTATGAATTTTTGCGAATGCCTTTCGGTCTGAGAAACGCGGCACAGACTTTCCAAAGGTTCATAGATGACGTTTTTCGAGGTCTCAACTTCGTACATGCATACGTTGATGACTGTCTAATAGCAAGTCCGGACAGAGAATCACATCTCCAGCATCTGGACATTGTTTTCGACCGACTACAAAAGCATGGCATTACCGTAAACATTCAGAAATGCCAAATCGGAACCGAATCCTTAGACTTCTTAGGACACACTATAGATGCGCATGGCATTCGACCCCTTAGAACGAAAGTGGCGGCCATTCTGGATTACCCAGAACCGACCACTATCAAGCAATTGCTCACGTTTAACGGTCTGGTAAGTTTTTATAGACTATTCATACCGAAATGCGCGTTACTTATGAAACCCCTTACCGACCAACTTCGTGGAAATGCGAAATCCATTAATCTAGATGACACTACCCGAAAAGCATTCTCCACAGTTAAGGAACATATCGCCCGAGCAGCAATGCTTGCTCATCAGGACCCTAAAGCGCCCATTAGCATCTCAGTAGACGCATCCGACTCAGCAATCGGAGCAGTCTTACAACAATGGGTTAACCACTCCTGGCAACCTTTGGCATTTTTCTCTAGACGGTTGCTAGACACTGAATCGAGGTACAGCACATTCGGTAGGGAACTTCTAGCTATGCATTGTGCTGTCCGGCATTTTCAACACTATATCGAAGGCCGTGAAGTTATCATTTTTACCGACCATAAACCACTTACCTTCTCCTTAAGCTCTTCTTCGGACAAGTACTCACCACGTGAGTCTCGACAACTGGACTACATTTCGCAGTTTACTTCAGATATTCGACACATTTCTGGAGCAAACAATGTAGTTGCAGACGCCTTGTCTCGTATAAATTCCTTGAACAGTTCCCAAGGAATCGACCTTTTAAAACTCGCTTAACTTCAAAAAGAAGACAGTGATCTTCAGCACGAGTTGGCCTCAACAACACTTAAACTGCGCATTAAACAGATGGGAACAGGTAACGAAACCTTACTTTGTGACACATCTACAGTTAGGGATCGCCCAATCGTGCCGAAACAATATCGACGCAAGGTCTTCAATACGTTGCACAGACTTTCTCATCCAGGTGTTCGTGCAACCATCAAGCTTATAGCAGAACGGTTTTGCTGGCCTGGTATGAATAAAGATGTGAGGGAGTGGGCACGCTCCTGTGTAAGCTGCCAGAAATCTAAGGTTATTAGGCATAATAAATGTCCCTTAGGCTCGTTTAAAACTCCCGATACTCGCTTCGATCATGTTCATTTGGATTTGGTAGGACCTTTACCAGATTCAAATGGATATTCTTATCTTTTTACATGCGTAGACCGTTTTACTCGATGGCCAGAAGCAGTACCCATCAGAGATATTACTGCTGAAACAGTGGCCCGCGCCTTCGTCGAGAGGTGGATAGCAAACTTCGGCTGCCCAACAACCATTACTACAGATCGTGGACGTCAGTTTGAATCTGAACTGTTCCGTTGTCTGACCATGAAACTAGGAATCACTCGCTTTCGAACGACGGCCTACCACCCACAAGCAAACGGATTAGTAGAACGTTTTCACCGACAACTAAAAGCGTCACTATCAGCCTCAAACATTTCTCAGTGGACTGACGCTCTTCCACTCGTCTTACTGGGCATACGCAATGCAGTGAAATCTGACATTGGATACACTGCATCTCAACTCGTTTATGGTACGACCCTTCGACTTCCAGGAGAGTTCGTGGACTCTTCATCCTCTTCGATGGACATGGATCTAACCTCCTACGCAAACAGGCTTACAAACGCAATGCGTTCAGTTAAACCTGTTTCCACTCGACCACAATCAACTGATGTTTTCGTTCAACCTGACTTACTACATAGTACATACGTTTTCGTGCGTCGAGACTCGCATCGACGACCTCTCGAATCAACATATGAAGGACCTTTCAAAGTTCTTCAACGCGAATCTAAGTACTACATAATAGATAAGAACGGAACCAACGAAAGCATCAGCATCGATCGCCTCAAAGCAGCGTATTTAGAAGGAAATCCTATTCACGTCGATTTTCCTTCAATACAATCGCACGACACAACTC